TGGAGCGGGGGCCTTGGTGACCCAAATCCTTCTTTAACGCGCCTGCAGCTTCCTCAAAAGGAGATGTAACATTTTTATTTTTTTTTCCTGTTCATATCTCTTCTGAAAAAAACAGGCCTGCAATCCCAGTACCTGAACCTCTCACCTTCTCTCCCTCCAAGTTTGGTATCTTTCTCCTTCCTCTTCTTGCCACCAGGATCTTTTCTGTGTTCTTGATACCCCAGTAATTTCTCATAAATATTTGTTTTCCTGTGGGAGCCACTCTGCCTCAGCCATATCCTTTGTGTCCTTTGCAGCCTCCCCTTCCATGAACTGAAGACATTCCATCTTGAAACAATTTACGCTCCTTTCCCCACTATAGCAAAATGGGAAAGACATCTCAAGACGTTTCCTCTGATAGTTAGAAACATTCCCCCAGTATATCATATACATTTATTCATATTCAGTTTATACACATTTTTATTGTAACAATATTTTTCACCAGCTTAATTCCCCCTTTTTGATAAACAGCCATAGTTCTGTAGATTCTGTCTCCTCTCAAATGCAGGCCACACTTTTAAATCCTTCATGAGAGCCATTGTGCTTGTGTAAGCTGCTCAGGTACAGAGCAGAGTCTCGAATTAATCATTCTTGAACATGGAAGTGATTGGAATTTCCACAGGATTTCACATGGAGCTTTTCAGTCCACTGGGCCGCAGTGTTAATTATCAACTGAAAACATAGCAGCGTGATGTACCTCCAGCTCTTCCAGCTGTGTCCCATCGCCGATCCATAGTCATCCTCTGATCAGTGTCACCTGCAAATCTCGTGTCATTTATCTTGTTTTACATCAAAGTTTAAAGAGTGTAGCAGCAGAACTGATTTCAAAGTCAGCCCAGAGGACCACGAGCACCTTTGTCCTCATCGTTCCTCTTTCAGGGTGAGGCAACACAACCCTGGCACCTGGCTTCTCCCAGCTCTTCTCATTAATTAATAGCTCACAGCGGCGTGTTGAGGCTGTGTGCACCCCTGGCCACTCATTTCAGAGGGGATACAGGGATCTGCAGTGGTACAGAGAGGGGAAAGAGAAGTGATAAAAATCTGGCAGAGGGTTCATCCCTCTGAAGCTTGGCTTTGTTTGTCAATTCAGCTATATCTTTTTATATAATGTTCTGTGTATTTTTTCAGGTCCGTGCCCAAATTATTTCCTCTGCTGAAAACGTCCTTTTTTCAATAACTGTTTGTAGGTATTTGTTCTGTTTGACCTCAGCTGACCTCTCAGGTAACGTGTACTTCCGCTTGCGTATCGGAGAACGTCCCGCTCGGTAGCAGGTTGTATCAGCATTAATAGGACCACAAGTGCTCTCCGTCTGCTAGGAACAGCTAATAGAATTTAAAAAGTAGGGAAAAAAATGCAGTGGTATCTAGAATAGCTTAATTAGAATTTTTAAAGATGTTGGAAGTGCTTTTCTCAGAATACTTCAGAAACCTCACCCACAAGTCTGCGCCACGCAGCCAGGAACAGGCGTGGAACAGACTTTGGTTTTCTCCTACATAGGGACTGATTTCATCTTGTTTTGCACAATAATACATCACAAACGATCCACTGATTCTAGAATTGTGTTCAGTTGTCTAATCTAGTCCTTTGTTTTGTGTTTCTAAATTTCAGACTTACCGTTTCTAGCCAAAAAAGTTCTACTTGAAGTCGAGATGTTGTTTGGAGGGTTTATCCAATGGGAATAAACTTGGTGACTCTGTAGAGGAGGTGCTTCTCACAGCAACAGGAGCATTGCAAAGCATGACTGATAGTCTGCTGTTTAGAGAACAATTTACAAATTACTGTAAAAAATGGCATTGTTAGTGCTGATACAAAAATTATTAGCATCAATGTTGCATCGTCTTATTTGGATTTTGGTAACCAAATATAATTAACAGTAACATCAGGTAAAAGATTTCAGTTTTCCTTAAAACAAACGTTTCTGAAAAATTACAGGCTTCAGTTATGGTATATTTTCTGACTTTAAATATATAGTGATATTTCTTGCCAAAGAAAACAGAGTATACTAGAAAAACCAAAGTGCCATAGTTCAAAGCCTGGCATGCGTTGATTCACAGGGCTAATTTGTTGGGAGCTGCAATGGATTTTTCCTAAATGTGTGAGTAAAGTAACATGCACTTACCAAGGGTTTTATTTTAAATTTTGAAAATATAAATAAAATTCTTTCCTGTTTCTACCATTGAAGAAATATCTGCAGTTTTTTTCTGCTGGATCAGAAACGTACCGTACTTGGGGAACTAATTGGTTTTGCTTTTTTTTTTTTGTACCGTATCTAAAAATGTGTTTAATGAGAAACTGTGAACAGCAGGAATTTTAATCCATCCTCTCGCAAAAAAAATGTTGCTTTTAAAATAGTGTTAGACCTCTTAAAGAAAAGTAATTTTCAGAGAACATTTTGTTTGTTTAAAAGCTTTTGAGAAACTTTATGTGACATAAATATATGGGGTTTTTTCAGTAGTTCGTAGGTGAGTTACTAATTATTCCGTGGCAGGAAACTTTTCAGCGTTACAGGACCTAATGCCTTGAGGAATACAAAGAATGCAAGATAAGGCTGTATCCCAGCCATAATGGACGAGCTTTCTGAGTCAGGCAGGCATGGTCTGGAGAAAGGGAAACTGTAAGCAAGGCCCCAGAAATGAATGAAGAATGAGATTACTATTTCGTCTAACGCACTGCCAGCTCGTTTGGCTTCAGCATCATTTGACTGTCATCAGTTTTCCGTGTGACGAAGCCACTGGACTCACCTGCACTTTCTGGAGTTCATTTGTCTTCATGAAGATCCTGAGCCACATCCTTGTTCTCTTCTGGTAGAAACACAAACGCTTGTGCAGCCTCCAGGTCACCAGGAAATCACTCCATTTTTTCAAAAGAAGGAAATCATAATACACTGTCTTAAAATGTTGAGTACAGGGAGGAATCTTCCATCTGCTTCCAAACACTGTTAGGTATGTGCCCAGCAGTAACTGGCAGGCCATCTCTGAGCAGAGTTTGCAGCCTGGGCAGAGCCTGAGATTTGATGGTGGTGATGGAGGTGGCAGCATCCACATTAGGAACCCAAATTCCTAACTCTGTACCAATAGTATTGTATTAAATACCTGTTAAGCATATTTTATCTTTGACCAGGCTTCCCTTAACACCTAAATTCGTGGCATATTTGCATACAACTCATCTATGTTGATGATTTAGACCTTGATCTAAGCATTGATTGTCCCCGAATCATTAGCAAGCTCTTTGGTGGCCTCTCACCTCCCTTGATGGCCCTGCACCCCTGCTTTCCTGCTCCCACAGGGAGCCCTTTTCACCAAGGACAGTAACAGCCCCATGGCCCTGGGAGCCAAGGAGACGAGTGCTTCACTCCCTCACATCTTTCATGTAAAAAATGAAAAAATGTGTACTTAACTGTGAGCTTAGTATTTATTTAATGTTTTCTTTTCTTCAACTATAAAAGAACCAGACTACGTACAACAACATAGTACATACACAATCTAACATACAATCAAGACAAATTCCGTAAAGCACCGCTGTAGAAAAAACGTTACAAAAAGCACTTAAAGATTTGATCCCCACCCCTTACAAAAGGGTAAATTGCCTGTATGGTGGTGATGGATGTTCGTTCTCAACTTTGGTTTAATTTTCCACCCCGACACACACTCACAGACCTCCACACCAGGACAGGTTCACTGGTAGATGCGGCAACTTGTGGTGGGTCATCAGGGGCAACTTCTCTATTACAGATCTGCAGAAAACACGAGTTATTAAATCTGGACAGGTCTGCTGGATTTGCACTGCTACCCGAATTTACTCTGAATTGTCTGTGAGCGCTCCCGAGCTAGCTTCTGTAAAACACTGTCAAGACCCACAATTCATAACTTTACACATGATTTTTCCCACGTAGAACTGTTGATCCCAAACAATTCCCCTCCAACCCAAAAGGAAGCAGCAGCTAACCGTTAAAATAAGCCTTGCCACTGAAGAACTTAAAGAATTTCTAAGTGCTGGTTTCTAATTCTGCAAAATTGTCAAAGTATGTTTAAATTTTACCCTTGTCAGTAATCTTGTGGTCAATAGGACTGATAATGCATGTCTGAGCCTTCATAGGACATAGCCATTGGTGCTAAAAGCATGTAAGAAAATCATATATTTTGACAGTTAAAATATTTTGCATCTCAGCTGGCAGTCCGAAATTTAAAGCCCAGTATTTTGCCTGTGGGTATTTGGGGGTGGCATTTAAAGTTGCTGTGTACAGCCCGCTGGTTTGAGGGGAGGAGAGGGGCAGTGTCTGGTTTGATTCTTGGTTGATTGGTCTTTGTTTCTTTCCTTTGTAATTTCCTAGTATCAGACACTTGCCTCTAACCGTTTAATAAACACCAAAAAGTTGTTATATTCACTGGGTTTGTGACATCCTAATGAAACCATTTTTCATCAATTAAGGATATTCTAAATCCACAGGTAAATACAGGTTTAAATATTGTAGTCTGTAAAAGCAGATTTAAAAGAAGTCTGTTTGTGAAATATCCAATGTAATTCAAAATTACCTAAAAAGAATATCTGGGAGTCTATTCCCCCCACCCACATTTTATTGTAGGCATTTGACAGCATTTTCTTTGAGCCAAGATCGGTGAGTGCTTCCCAGTTGCACAGATTTTTCACACCCAGCATAAAAAGTGCAAAGCTATGAAAAGAGTTTAAAAAGCTAAGATGATTATAAAACTACAAAAACTGTTAAGGAAACAAAGCCAGTGTTAACAATATAAAAGATTTTCTAAAAAAAACCACCAGCTGGCTGGGCTTTAAGTCGACAACATCCTCTTAATCCTTTCCTACCAAGACTCTTGCCTGCAAAGTGTCTGTTGCTGGAAATGGATATATTCATTTCTAATTCTCAGAAATTGAAATATTATCCTTAATCTAGACACCCTCAGGTTTACTCAGTCAATTTTTGAACAGTAAAAAAAAAAAAAAATCAAAGCAACCCTCTCAGAGAGTTTTATTTTCTAGACAATCAAAAAGCTCCAGAATGTTCCAAGATTCACAAATATAGTTAAGTCACTTCTACAAATAAGGTTCGGTTTATAAGAATTTCTCATTTAAACTAGACTAAAGGACTTCAGTTATGAAACCGTCTTACAAAACATCAGTAAATTAAATAACCACATTTGGAAGATTTACAAGGTCTTGCACCAAGAGGTTAAATGCACTACAAATACCAGTGCAGCGTGTATTCCTTCAGCGAAATACACTGCAATTATGTGCAAAAGTACGTTAAAATGTATACTAAACAGAGTCAAATACGTAGCGCTAAGACTTTAAGATACGTAGTCTGCACGGCCTTTAAAAAACTTTGAGAAAGAGATTATATTAGAAATACCTTTCCTAAAAACATTTTTTTTTTTATTCTTCGTTAAGCACCATATGAATATTTTAAAACAGCTACATCATTTTCTCAAAGCTTGTAGAGGCTGGATCTACAATGGAAGATTTCAGGAAAAACATCCAAAAACTAAGTGGAAAGCACAGCAAACAGATTTACATGGACGTGTGGTCACAAGAATGTGGATAAACTACATCCTCTTCTAAATACAAAGGTTGAAGGACTCCACTGAAAACAAAGCAGCACAATATGACAGATCAACAGGAAAAAACACCGATACTGGTGGTCACTTTCCATCTGGAATGGGAACGGCGAACCCCCCACCCGCACCCCCCCGTCATTACACAAACCTTAACACAGCTCCATTCTCTAGGCACAAGACACACAAGAACAATCTCTAAGACCGAAGAAAAGCAGGTTGAAGGATAATCGCTGAAGGTCTCTGCAGTGTCTCCTGCAGCTCTTATTCCATACAGACTTTCACAAGAGGCTCATTTTCCCTGCTCTGAATCACAGTTTCAGAGTCACCCCAAACCTCACCCCTGTCAGAAGCTGAATCTTCTGACATTTTCATTGTGGCTCACTACCCAGAGCCGTGCTCGGCTGACACTCCACGTCTAGTGGCCTCTGCCAATATTTACAATGAGGTGGAATGACCAGAGGTTGGGATGCCTGGTCACTAAATATCGTTTTGGATCCCTATTTACATTCTTATCCCACTTCTATTAGCGAGTTACTCTCCCAAAAGACACAGATATTGTGACTCTTTTCCAGGTTTTTCATACGCAGAAACCCTTCCTTTATCAGATAGGCAGATACAAAAGAATACCCTCTGATGTTGGACGGACTCAGCAAAAACAGAGCAGTAGCCTAAAAGACTAGCCCCACTAGGCTGGACGTGGCGTTTTCAAATGTCTGGCAAGATTTACCAGCCCATGTTTAGCTCTGATTTTCAAGTGCTCAGGACCCAAAACCACTGCAGGAATTTCAAAGGAGCTCAGCTCCAAATCTAGCACCTAGGTGAGATGTTTCCTTAACGACCTTAATTTAGATAACTAAAACAGAGGCTATAGAGCCCTGGATTTTTTAAAGATCTTGTCCCAGTGAGATTTTTCTGTGATGATGTGTGTCACTATGACGTCTCATTAAGTGGGAGGAACTGCTCATTCTTTCTCAGCCGTGTCTGTGTGTCTGTCTACAGGTTTTGATCCAGCACCGACTCCAGCTGAAAGACTTGTATACAATTTGCCTTTTCATGAAACACTTAAGAACAACATAGTAAAGAAGCATTAACAGTCTTATTTCACAGTATATTTCAGTTTTGTCTCTTCATTAGGAAACAGTAGGTCACCCATAAGCAAACAGGCTTTCTGTTGGCATTGGGTTTTCTTTTAAAGGTTGATCTTTCTTTCCCAGGTTGATTTTTGATATCAACTTGGTACTGGAAAAGTAAAAAAAATCTTACCTCCTTTGAAAGCCAGCCTTTATCTATCCCAGCAAAGAAACATGAGGTACTTGGATAAATTCATGTAACATAAACCATAAGAAGGATCACCAAAGACAAAAAAAGGAAATATATTAAAAGAGAAAGGAAAGGATTTGCATACAAAGAGGCTAGTAAAAAAATCTACCCGATTACTTCAGAAAGGGTATTCAGAGCTCTTTGATATGCACAGCTGAGATATTTCTATTTAACTTCTCCTCGGCTACATCAGCTGTGAATCTGGCTATATAATCTACCAGAATCACAATTCCCAAGTAACCTGACTGACGGCTTTTAACTTCTGCTGTAAAAAGCTGAAGAGAACAGGGCAGTTCACGTAGTCTAAACTGAGAGAGCAGGACACCAGACACCACAACGTGTGCTTGATATTTCTTAAGCCAAGACTGCTAATGTCTAAATGACATTAAAGACACATCTGAAGATCTGTAGCCCGAGCTCTTGAGGGAGGGAGATGCAGTAAAAACAATAGAAAAGCACCTTGTTCTCTAAATACCTGCAATTAAGGACACGTGAAATACATTTATTCTTACTGTCTAGGCTTTCAGCAGCAGCATATTTTTGTTATCCTGGTTTGTCTGCCCTGGTTTCCAGATCAAATCCAGTCTAAGCAATATATAATTTAGATAATACTGTCTGGATACAGGAGGATCACACCTTAGTTTAGAAAAGTCCAAGGTAATGGGTGAAAACTACATTTCTTTCAATGTAATCTTCAGGGACAAGATGATGCTCCTTTTCAGATCAGGGATTAAGGTCCATGACAGCATTATTTGAAGAAACCTGTTATTAAAACAACACAGAAATGTTCCACCTGAAAAATCACGACTAGGAGGCAGAGACACCGCTGGCAATTGCTCAAGTACAACCTCTGTGAACCCCAGACAGAAGATTCTTCACAGATTTCTGGTGCACAGCACTGAAAACTTAAAAGTATTAAAAATTCCAATTCTCCCCACTCTTCTATTAAAAAAATGGAATAATAAAAACCAGCACAGTCTCATTAATTGGGCAAACATGCAGTCCTGTTGCAGACCAACCACCACCAGGGAGACGCTTCAAATGCTTCCACTTTCCTCCTGCTGCTACATGAGTGTTTCTCGGTCCGACAGACTCCTGTGGATTTCCTGCTTGTCATCACCATCAGCATCATCATCATCCGCTGGGTCGTTCTCCTCCCCAGACTCCACGTATATGGGCCAGTCGTTATCGGCGTCGCCCTTCTCCTGCCCTTCCGAGGAAGGCTCCACCAGGCTGAGGTTGATGGGCATGGAGTCCTCGTGGGTGGTGGTCACACACGTGCAGCTGTCGCACAAGCCAAAGCGGCGCAATCCTTGGGAGAGGCTGCTTGTGAACGTTCTCCTGCAGCCTTTACAGATGATCGGCTTGTTCGATCGATGCACCTGGAGTTAACAATAAAAGATTCTGGTTAAAAAAAGGCAATCTGCCTTCTTGCTTTCGCTCTTTCTGGGTGCTGCTTTGTGTGTCTTCCTAGAACAGGAAAACATCTTCACTTAAGCTAAAGGGCAAGTGATCCCATCACATTTCCAGCGATAAAGAACCAATAGATTGGTGGCTTAAACTTATTAGAAAAGTTTATCTCACGTTGGTAACATACTAATGAACCAATAGATTGGTGGCTTAAACCTATTAGAAAAGTTTATCTCACGTTGGTAACAATCATTGTGTCCAACATATTTTAGGAAATACGACTGGGAAACTTTTAAAAGCCAAAGACTTTTTAAAAATTTCCCGAATAGATGTAATTTGCAGACTTACACTCAGAGCGTGGCTCCGAGAAAAATTTCCCGACTAGATGTAACCTTGCAGACTTACACTCAGAGCGTGGCTCCGAAGGTGCTCCTGGCGCGTGAAGCGCTTCCCGCAGGTCTCGCAGGGGTAGGGCCTCTCGCCCGTGTGGGACCGAATGTGACGCTTCAAAATTCCCTTCTGCTTCGCCGTGTAGGGACAGAACGGGCACTTGTGGAGCTTGATGGGCACCACTAACACATCACCTTTCGGGGGAAAAAAAAACCCACAGTGCGTTAGATCAGTTCCCCCGTCTCAGCCACGTCGGCTTCTGAGCCTCCTCGCTGCAAATCTGAGCCAAGATAATGGCACTTTCCCCCTCTTTTTGTATTTGGCTTACCTGGGACTTCTGCAGGGCGTGCAATTTCAGAAGACATTCGTGCAGCTGCAGAGGATCAAGTCCCTTGAAGATCAGCTTGCCTGTACTTACATAGCTGATACTCTAAGGGAGTTGGCTCACAACAGAAAAACAAATTAATTTTATTTTAAGAAGCCATTTAATTAAGTGCCAAAAATTTGCTTTTAGTGCAGCGGGGTCTCCACACTCTCTCAACCACAGAAAGCCTCCTACTTCCTTTGGGTTTTTTTTGGATACCATTAGCACTGAAGAAATGAAAATCTTTAAGACAAATTACAGGTAGAAGCAGTGCAATGTTCCCCATATGCTTTTACAAAGTGCGTAAATTCAGATGTGGAGAACCCATCTAAAATATGAACACTTGTTTCCACTGCCATTCACTTTAGCATTCGCTTTCTACTGGAAATAACACGATGAAGGACTCCAATACATTTACAGATGATATTTCACTTTTCCTCCAATCAGACTATACGCACACAAATAATATGTTAATTTATGAAGTCAGATGGCAAAAGAGAGAATTCAGTGTCAAGATCACATTTTACATAAACATGGGTATTGCCAAATTTTTCCATATCAGCCCAGATATGAATTTCCTTTCCAGCATAAAGGCTGAGATGTACTAAAAGATCAATTTTCCCTGTTTCAGGGGAAAAAGAGCCTCGAGCTCTTTAAGTTACACCGAAATAGGTGGGGCCATAGAGCTTTGTCCAACCCCACCTCAAAAAAGGAGTGCCTGGTGTTAATGAGTGGCCATCAACTGAAATTGATCTCACCTGATTTTGGACCTTCACAAGGTATTGCTAATCCCTGCTGGGTGTTCAGAGCTCTGTTTTAAAGTTCTTCGACTGTTTTGCTTCCAGGCTCTCTGCAAGCTCCTGTTTACCCTTCCATCAGCTGTGAAGGGGATGGGGGTGACTGGGGCAGATGGGGACACTGGAAAGTAAGCGGTGTTTGTCTCATCTGTCAGCCTGACTGTGAGAGCCCCGTTCTGCTGTCAGGACTTTGTATTTCTCATTCCTGCTGTCTTGTGAAAATGCCAAGAGAGCAGCAGCACTAAAAGCTGAGAAGAAATATTCCGTTCTACTAAATGCTTATGACATTCAGTTTTAGCAGAGAAAAGTAACTGAATGCAAGGTTTGTTTGGTTTTTTTTTCCCCCCGCCCTACTTAAAACACATCTACCATTAACATTTCCAATATGCTGTCATAACACCTGATGTTCTTATCAAATTCTAGAAGCACTTCTCTTTTAATGATTCATTAACAGTCTGAAGATTTTAAGAGGGGAAAAAAGTAAGCCATGTTTGTGTGTTAGATGCTCTTGCCTTGCATGAGTTGGTGACAGCACTCTGCTCTGGTAACTTGGGACTTTTGGTGACTGTAAGACTAGATTTGTGATTTTATCGGATTCCTTATTTTAAAGCAGTGAGAGATATTATTGGGTTTATTGGCTTTAAGATCACACAGCATCACACTTCCAGCCTGAGCTGGAAGTGACATGACCGTAAGCTTGCTATCTAGAGTGGAGTATTCAGGGCAAGGTTTCCTCTCCGCTGGCCACGCCGTTATTGCATTTGTCACATCCTGAACAGCTATCACAGTGTCTGTCAGAGCCATCTCCTGTCCTCGTCAGGCAGTTTGGACAAGGCAAGTTGTGTACCAACATTACTGTAAGCAGATAAAATGCCCAAATCCTTATTGTCCACGTCAGGAGAAACGTGCATGGACACCACCTTCTTCTTCTGCAGGTCCCTGATGTTGCTGCTGGAGACATTCCTGCCAGCACCAGTGAGACATCCCAACAGACACTGGGCTGGGGAAAGCAGCGGAACCTCGGGTGAAAAGCCAGTCTGCTGCTAGAGGTAAAAGCTGAGTCTCATCTTTATGCAACACCAGAGTTTAAAGCTTTCAGTGCTCTTAAAGGATTTCTAGGTATCACTCAATATTGAATAAAACTGATTTTTGCCCTTCTGAAGTTCAAAGTAACAGCAAACAGACTATCACCCCGCAACCAATGAGCCGGCAGGAGCTCCCGTGGAATAAGCTGCTTCTGCTCTCTCAGGTGCTAGAGCAGATCCCTCTTGTGGCAGCTCAACTTACCTTTCTGATTGCTTTTTCTAACACTACCATTAGGAGAGAAAGATTCTTTTCAAAAATTTGCCCGCCATTCAACAAGGTCCCAAATGAGATCGTTTATTAAAGCAGTGTCACCAACACCAAGCTCCAGGATCTGTTTCAAAGAGACTGTAAAAGCTGTGAGAAATACTTACCTCTCGAATGCTGCACTGAATAAACGAGTACAGCTTTCTTTTCAAGTCCAGAACAATAGTTTATTTTGCTACGGCATAATATTCAGCAATATATTCCTGAACAAGAACGAGAGTAACAAAGGAGCACAACTGAGCGGTTTCCTCCTCAATCCCACTGCCTACACCCCCCCGAGTCCTCTCACCTGTGTCCTCACCATACCAGTCGCTGTGAATGTCCATCATGGAACTCATGGCTACCCCTGCATCCTCTGGCCTACCCTCAAAGCCCCGGACGAAGTGATGAACCACCTCATCCTTTCTCTGAGCCGAGCTGTTGCGCAACAGGGCCTCTAGGAACTGTTTCATGTGATAGTTATTGCAGGCCAGGTCCATCGCCTGCCCGCCGTGCAGACCCTCCTCCATCTGCTCCAGGGACAGGGGAGTCGGGTACTGCGGCAGCCGGTCGCCCACCTCCACCTCCACTTCATCCGAGTCAAACTCCACTTTGGGTTCCACCCCTTTGGGCAGCGAGGAATTAACGTCGTCTGGAGAATCGCTGCTCCCGGGGTCTCTGACCACCAGCTCCAGGGGATGGCAGCTGCTGCACTCGCCGCAGGGAGGGTCTCTCTGGCAATCCGAAATCCTTTCCTTCTCCTGCAGGGAGGAGAGGGAGGCAGAGCACTGGCTCTTGGAGCTGTACGAGGTGCCCTCTCTGGCCGAGCCGGCGCTCCCGCTATCGGCCTGATAGAACGCAGCTTCTCTCTCTATTTTCCTGCAGATATCTAACGACGACCTTATGTACGTTTTGCAGAAGTTGACCACGTCGGTCATCTGCAAATAGCTGGCTGCGGACATCACCTCGATAACATTTTCCCCGCAGAGATCCAGCTTCCCGGAATAAAGGAAATCGAGGATGATGGAGAAGGCCTCGGAGGTGACGATGTCCAGCGAGGCTGTGCTGTGGCGGCCGCTGTCCTGGATGTAGTGAATCAGCAGGGCTCGGAAATACCCGCTGTTGGCGAACAAGATGTTCTTGTGGGCTTTGAAGATCCTCCCTTCCACGATGATGCTGCAGTCGCAGAAGAAGTCCCTCTTGCGCTGCTCGTTCAGCTCTCCCAGCAGCTTGGTGTAGTACGACTGCATCTCCATCGTCTGCCCGGGCAAGGGGAGGCACCGTCAGCGAGGGGAGGACCCGCCGCCGCCTCCCGGGAACCCCCCGCCGCCTCCCGCCAGCCTCTCCCCGCCCGCCGGCAGCCGGAGGGGCCGAGCACCGGCCGCGTTCCCTCCCACCGGCCCGTCCTCCCTCCCTTCCCTTCTCCCGCCGCTCGCCCCTCACCTCCGCCGCCGGCCGCCCTCCCCCGGAGGAGGCGGGACCAGGAAGTGACGTTACGGGGAGGGGGGGAAGGTGAGGGGTCGGTAAATATTGGTGACGTCAGGCCGCCAAGATGGCGGAGGGGTGAGTTCGGTAGCGCTGGAGAGGGGGGCGGCAGGGAAGGGGGACGGGTCCGGGGGGTGCGGGAGGAGAGCGGCTGGCACCGGGAGGGGGGCGAGGGCAGCGGTCCCGGTCCCTTCCCCGCCGCCTGGGCCCGGTCCCTTCCCCGCCGCCTGGGCCCGGTCCCGGTCGCTTGGACCCGTCCCCGTCGTTTGGGCCCGGTCCCTTCCCCTGGGCCCGTCATCTGTCCCCGTCCCCGCCGTCTGGTCCCGGTCCCTTCCCCGTCCCCTGGGCCCGTCCCCGTCATCTGGACCCGGTCCCGCTTGACGCGCGTTGTCGCCCCGCAGGGAGGACGGGGGCTGGTGGCGGAGCTGGCTGCAGCAGAGCTACCAGGCCGTCAAGGAGAAGGTAGGCGGAGGAGGAGGCGGTGGGACGGGTCTGCGGGGCGGCCCCGGGGGGCGGCGGGCCTGAGGGAGCCGTAGCGGCTTTGTCAACAAGGGCTGCGATCCCTCCCGAGCCGGGCCTCGGTGGCGGCCCCGCAGGTGTAGCACAGCCCCGTGAGCCGGGAAGGGCCCGTCGGGAGGCAGAGGGGGAGCCGGGGTGTTTCCGTGGTAACTCTGGCTCCGGGGAGCAGCGCGGGGCTCCGGGGATGTGAAAATCACCAGCTGAGCCGGGAGGGCATGTGCTGGCAGCGTCCCTTTCCGATGTGTAATTTCCTGGCTGTGACAGCGCTGCTTAAGTTAATTATACACAAAATTCAGAACAAGGCTTTTCCTAACCTGTCTGTTCCCATTCTTAAAAAAAAAAACCAAAACAACCCACCACTGTAGCATAGCAGTTTCCCGTTGTTATTCTGCTTATTATGGTCTTACTTATGGCAGGAGTTGGGGTAAGGGCTCAGCTGGGTTAAAGGCTCTCGCACTTTAATCTTTGCAATGTGCCACGTGTTGCCAGAGCGACCGTGGCTTTACCAGAGAGCAAAAAGATTACCCAGTCTGTCTGTCATCTTCTTACAGTCCACAGAAGCTTTGGAATTCATGAAACGGGACCTGGCTGAGTTCACCCAAGTTGTGCAGCATGACACAGCCTGCACTATCGCCGCTACGGCCAGCGTGGTCAAGGACAAGCTGGCAGTGAGTACAGGAGTGAGAGAGCTGGGGTTCTTACTGCAGAAACCAAAGCAGGGGGTAAATAGGATGTCTCTGGGACACAAACCCCTGTGCACAACCAGGAGCTTCAGGTGTCAGACTTTTTCCTGGTGCGGGTTTCATGCTGAGCACTGTGTGGGCACTCCTCATTGTAGTGGTGAGGAACCTCTGGAGATGAGCGGAGACAAGTGCCTTGTGCTTTCCCTCTCCCAGTGTGCCGTGTAGGTGGGATACTGGCAGTGTCACTGTAGTATGACATCAGATCTCTGCACAGTCCAACCCCCAAACCAGCCAGTCCCCAAACCTGGCTGTGTCCTTCCCCACAAAGCCTAGGCTTGGTTCCCCACAAACCTGTGACAAGGCCTACTTGCCTCACCGTCACCTGAGGCTAGTGCCTGCCACCACACCCTTCTCCTAGCCCAGCCCTGGCCACACAGTTGCCTCATTAGCACTTTTTTGAAGGCAGAGAAATCCTTCTTTAAAAAAACCTATCCAGCAAAGACTGAGACTTGTCCTGCTGCTGTGGGCACTGTGACTGACACTGCGCTGCTTTTTCTCTTCAAGAGGACAGAAGGTTCCTCAGGTGCAACTGAAAAGGTGAGGAAAGGGCTCTCTGACTTCCTGGGTGTCATCTCAGACACATTTGCTCCCTCTCCGGATAAGACCATTGACTGTGATGTCATCACACTGATGGCAACACCCACAGGTACCACAGAGCCCTATGACAGTGCCAAGGTGAGTGCTGTGTTCCTGGAGCTTCTCTCTGGGATGTGGAATCCCGAGCCCTGTCCTTTGGGGGCTCTGCTGCTGCTGCCTCTGCTGATGGCTCTGCTCTCTCTGTCTCTTCCAGGCTCGTCTCTACAGCCTCCAGTCAGACCCAGCCACCTACTGCAATGAACCTGATGGTACGGGGGGGTTCGGTGGTGCTGCTGAGCAAAGCTGTCCCCCTGTGTGGGGTCTGTGGGGTGTCCTGAATTGCCCAGAGCCTTTGGCCAGCGGGGCTGCTGTCCATGGGGTCACTGTTTATGGAGAGCAGATCTGTCTGTTGCACTGGGGACAAGCTTAGACCAAGAGTTTGCTGGGCTTAAACTGCTGCTACAGCTGGCACCATGTGGCCTTGTGCTGGGAGAGGACCTACAACATGGGGTGGGCTCAGAGAGCAATGTCTCCCTCCTCCTTTGCCCCTTGCTCACCCCAGCTGCTCTGGTCTATAGCATCTTTCCAATGAGACTTCCCAATACTGTTCCTGCCTTGCTTGTGCCAAAGACTGTTGCCTCTCTGCTTGTTCTGTGCAGGCCCTGCTGAGCTCCTCGAGGCCTGGCTCTCTCAGTTTAACCTCGAGGAGAAGAAAGGGGAGATCGCGGAGCTCCTGGCGACCAGCCCTTCCATCCGTGCTCTCTACACCAAAATGGTAAGGCCCTGCCTGGCTCCTGCAGTGGGCAAGTTCTGGCTTGGGGTGTGGTGCAGGGAAGCTCTGAGCTGCTTGGGCCCTGGAGTGTGTGTTAGAAAGGATTGTGGTTGCGTGGTGAACGGGAAGATGGATATTTTGTAGCAGAGTATATTCTTCTTCCCTGCTTGTTTGTCACTGGAAGGGAAGTTCCTCTGTCGCTGGCTGATGTGTGTCTGAGCATCTGCTGGTGCGTACCTGGGGCTTGGTGCCAGATCTGTGCAGCTGAAAACACGGGTGCCTCGCGCAGGTTGTGAGGGTAGCAGTGAGGCTCAGGAGGAGAGAGGAGCCAGGCACCAACCGCAGCCCTCCCCCTGCAGTGACTCATCGTGTTTTCGTGTCACTCCCAGGTGCCTGTGGCTGTTTCCCACTCTGAATTCTGGCAGCGCTACTTCTATAAAGTGCATCGCCTGGAGCAGGTAGGTCAGGAGGGGAGGGGGGTGTCCCCCCAGCGGGTGGGTGCTCCAGCCAAGGAGCTCTCTAATGCAAGCCAGAGAGGCAGAAGATATTTTTCCTGGAAAAGCAGGGATCTGGGCTGCCTGGTCTGTGACCTTGTTGTCACTGACACTGAAGTGCCTTGGGGAGGAGGGGACTGGGGACGTGAGCAGCAGCTGATGCTGAACTCCCCGCAGGATGAAGCCAGGAGGGAGGCTCTGAAGCAGCGAGCGGAGCTGAGCATTCACCAAGAGGAGCCAGGCTGGGAAGAAGATGAAGGTGGGTCAGATAGTGGGGGATCTGTGGGAGGGCTCGTGCAGGTCTCAGTTAGAGGGGGTGGTGGCTCCTCCTTGCTCCCACAAATCCAGCTCCCAGCCCAGCTGCAGCCAACCCCGCTGCACTGTCAGCTGCTGCTGCACTTGCTGAAACATCTCTCGCTTCTCTTCTGCCTTCCTACAGAGGAGTTCTTGGGGATGTCACCCCTGCCTTGTGCAAACGTGAAATTGCCAGAAGCAGCAGAGAAAGAATCTGCCCCTGCAGCCCTGGAGGGAGACCACCCCACTGCTCCCAAGGGACCCTCAGAGGAAAGCTGGGCCGTCCTCCCTCCGGCGCCAGCCCCAGTAGAGGGGAGCCCCTCTGAGAGCAGTGAGAGCATCTCCCTTGTGACTCAGATTGCAAACCCTGCCTCTGTGCCTGCTGCGCAGCTACAGACTGGAGCGCAACCAGCCAGGGCTGGAGACCTCTCCCAGAAGCTGCTGGAGGCCACCTCGGAAGAGCAGAGCTCCCTGCCAAAGCCCCCAGAACCTGTTCATCCTTCTGCACCTCCATCCTCAGAGCATCCGGCTGTTACAGAGCTCAAAGAGTTGGAGAGCAAAGCCCAGGGCAGGACAGAGACTCTGAAAGAGGAAGGACCAACAGATCTACGTGTCTTTGAGCTGAACTCGGATAGTGGGAAATCCACCCCCTCCAACAATGGCAAGAAAGGTGCGTCTGTGGGGCCAGCACAGGGCCTGGAGACCTTCAGCTGGGGGGTGGTGGCTTTTGGGGAAAGGGTTCTGTTTTTGTGATGATGGAAGAGGAGAAAAGGGCTTTTGCCAAAATGACCCAGGAAGGTTAGATCCAAAGATTGGCTGAACTGAAATTGAATCTTGATGCTGTTGGGCAGGGTCAAGTGGGTCACATCAGATGGTGGCAGTCTGCTCTTGGAGGGCCTGAGCCCCATTCCTGGTGCTCCCTCAGAAGAGTGGAGGGTGAGACTCTTCCAGGAGGGAAGGACGTTTTGCAGCTCTGGCTGACCATACTTACAAATATTTAATTGCAGGGGATTCTGCCTTCAGCAGAGCCTGCTGCAGGTCTCCCAGAGCAGTGGGTACGGTGGTTATAAAGCCACTGGAAGTGACCCAAGGTCCAGCAAGGTGGCCGTGTACCATGAACTGGGTTTGTGTTGAGCAGGAGGAAGTTAGAGAGCAAATCAGAAGTCTGTGGGCTGAACAGGGTGTACCCTTGGTCCCTGGGCTGCTGGTTGCTGGGGCAAGGCTGTGGTCTGTGTAGGAAACATGGTGTTTCCTTCCCTCTGCGTGTCACCCCAGGAGTGTCCCTGCTGCTCCTCTGCCCCGGGAGGTTGTTCTTTCTGTTGGGGACTGTGACAGTCACCATATCTAAGTCACTCCTGTCACTCCTTATTTGTTGTGTTTTCTGTGTGACTGAAGTGTGACACGTCCTAGTTCTCCCAGGCCAGAGGAGAGCACGTTCCAGTGTTCACCTCTCCCACTCGTTCTGAGGCAACCCTCGCTGCAAGTTCAGTCCATCCTATCTCAGAGCGACAGCCTGCTCTTGGCAGTGGGGGAGGATTTTCCTCCTGGGGCAGGCTGTGCTAGATTCGAGCCTCATTAATGGCAGGGCTTTGTGGGCTTGCTCGGGCTGTGTCTGGAGAGCACAAGCAGCTCTGATGCCTTCGTGACATCTGTGGTTACAGGCTCCAGCACGGACATCAGTGAGGACTGGGAAAAGGACTTTGATTTGGACATGACTGAAGAGGAGGTGCAGCTGGCGCTCTCGAAGGTGGAGGTGTCTGGGGAGGTGAGTGGAGGGGAGGTGCTCTCTCAAATAGGCACGAAGATGGCTCCCAAAAACCATCAGCGACTCCCCGGGGTGATGCTGCCTGAGCTGTGCCGTTCCTGGGTGCTTCCCCCAAGGGAGACTGCAGCTCCTCGGAGCAGGAGGGTGAATCCTCCAGCTTGAGCTCTGCTTCCAGCCCCTGTGCAGCACGTTGCAGTGAGACGTGGCTACTGCTGGCCTGGAAGGGCCGAGAGCCGCTGGCAAGAGGCTCCTCAAAGGCCTGACTCGCTCTTTGAGGCCACGGGTGTAGCTTGGGATCTCATTGTGGGAGTCACGGGTGGTGGCTGGAGCAGAGAGCGGCTCTTTGGGTGTGCTTAAGGAGGGGATGAGTGTGCAGGTTCCCCGGGGATCCAGGGCAAGCAAATCCCTGCTGTGAGGGTGTGGGAGCGTGAGGGTATGTCAGGCTCTGCGCTGACTCAGGTGCCATGGGCAGGAGCATCTGTTGACAGATGTGTGTTGAGTTACAGAGTAAACTGAGGGCTGTTTCTCTTGTTTGCAGCTGGAAGATGAAGAGTGGGAAGACTGGGAATAAAGCGACAGCTTCCAGTGTGTCACAGGCTCATTTCCACCATCGAAAGTGAATTAAATCACGGACCGGCTGTTCCTTTGTGTGTAACTGTGCTGGGGATTGCAGCTCCAGGCTGGAGGAGTTTCATTCCTGCTATAAATCCTGTGGGCAACTTGAGTGACCCCTTCAGACCTGGAGGAGGAGGAGGAAGCAGGAGGTCACTCGTACACGTAGCTGCTAGGGAGCTCATCTTCTCAGTACGTCCTAGAGACCGGCCAAGCCCAAACTGACTGCCCCGAAAGCGAGGGGTGGAGGCAGATGTGATGTGGTGAGGGGGTCCCTGGGGCCAGCTGGGCACTCGGACACCTGGCAGGATCTCCTGGTGCCACCGGGCTGCCAGCTGGCTGATTGTTGGCTCCTGTGTGTGCGCGTTGTCTGTGGTACAGCACTTCAAAGGCTCTTGGACTCCAGCTGTGCCCCCTCGCTTGCCGCTCCGTGCTGCTGGCCAGGCTGTCCCTGGAGAAAGCCCCCGTGCAGGGAGCGGCTGGGGGCTGGAGATGCTGCAGTAGAGGCCCCTCCTGCTCCTCTCTCATTGCTGCAAAGAAAGGCAGTCGGCTTGTGGCTTTGGCCCAGAGCTGGGCCACATTGGAAGGAGCCAAACTCCCTGCCAAACCCTGAGCTTCTGCCTGGCTTTTTGTCTTGGAAGGTTTTTCTAATGGAATCTCTCATTTCCTCTAAGAGCCAAGACCTGCGGCTTCCCCCTTCGCAGCTGCCCTGCCTTCCCCTGCTGGGCTTTGTGTACTTAAACTTCCCAAGCAAAGTACTTGTGGCTTGCTCTTACTTGAGCCCCTCTGGGCCGGCAGTGACTCGGGCCCCCTGGGGGGCAGAACCCCTCCCTTTGTGGTGCCCAGCTCAGCCCTTGTGAAGCCCCAGTGACCACTTTAACCCCCACCGTGGCACCGAGGGTCGGCCCTTCCCTCGCCCAGCCTGGCAGGAGGCAGGAGCATCCAAGTGTGGGTGGAACCTGCTGGCTGAGGCTGTGTCTGTCCACTAATGTGTCCCTTCGTGTCCCACCCGTGGCCACCAGAGTCACAGGCCTGGCTGTGCTCACTCGGGTTCCTTCCCCTAAGCCCCCTGTGACCGCTTGCAATTGCTTCCTCCGGACCCAAATGCCTCTCTTTTTGGGGCGTTTCCCTTCTAATGGCACGAGAAGCTCCTTGGTGGATGTTGCTAATTACAGTTGTCCTCAAGGGATGGAGCCCTCGCTGCTGTCTCTGGCCTTTGGGGTGGTGGTTTTGTCCGTGCTACCCTTCCTTCTGCCCCTTCCAGGGCTGCTTGCTGGGACCTGTGGGTTTCCTTCTGGGTTTGGATAGCATTAACCTTGGGGAACTTGGAAGAGTTGGGGAAGGTTTTTTTGCCCCCAGCTTTGGGGAGATGCTCAAACGTGGCTGCCCACACAGGTGGCTTGGTGGCCGTGGTGACTTTAGGCGCTTACACAAGAGGGTGTCTGTCCTGCCAAGCCCTCCCACGTGGTGTGGTGGGCCCTGCAGAGCCTCTGGGGTGTGCTGCAGCCTCACCTTGCCCTGGCCTTGAATTTGGCTGTAGCAGGAAAACCTGGTGTGGGGAGGTGACAGTGGTGGGGGCGTCAGGGGCTGTGGTCCCTCGGGGTTTGGTGGTCTGAGTCGCGGCTGGGTCCCTGGGCCCACACCGAGCTCCGAGGGTGCAGTGCTCTCACCTGTGTCACTGCTTTTCTTTTCTTTTTTTTTTTTTTTTTTTTTTTTTTTAATTCTTCAGTCAAATTAACCTTTTGGTTGTCTGTGCAATATTCTCTGTTCTGAACTATCTGAACCCCATCTCCCTGAGTTTTTTTCTAGCTGGGGCGAGAAACCAGGAACAATTCTAACAGCTGGTAGTTTTGTAACGATGACTTTCTCCGAACCTTTTACAGACTTGCGGATAACAGCGATTAAAGGAATTCTACAGAGTCTCTGCCTGTGCTGGGTGTTCTCATTTCCTGCGCCTGCGGGATGGGGAGGGCAGCTTTACCTTTCCCTTTCCTCCCAGTTTGTTTAACTGGGGAATGTGGGCCTGGGCTGCTCGGAGCCCGTTTCTGCCCTGTTCCCCGGTGGCTTTGGTGAGCTGATAAAAATTCTATTCTATTCTATTAAAAAAAAATAAATGCCTGAGTACAATCCAGGGCTTGTCTCTGGCCAGCACCCCCGAGGCTGGCTAAGTGTCCTCCAAATTTATCATCACTTTAGAAACAAAATGCTCTATTGGGGGAGAGCAGGAGCGAGTCCTCCTCAGGGGTTGGTCAGCCACGGGTGGCTGCTCACCCCCTCGATGGAGGGTCTGAGGGTCATGTCTGGTTCCAGAAGCGTTTCCAGAAGGTTCTGGCACTCCTTGGAGATGCCCAGGTGCCCGGGGACGGAGACACCTTTCTGCTGCTGGTGCAGCATCTTGGCGATGTCGGTGTCATCGAAGGGCAGGCGGGCGCAGAGCAGGACGTAGAGGAAGACGCCCATGCTCCAGACGTCGCCCTTGCGGCTGTCGTGGGGCTGGCCCTGCAGCACCTCGGGGGCCGCGTAGGCTGTGCTGCCGCAGAAGGTCCAGCTCAGCTCTCGGCCCTCCCTGGGGAGCTCTTTGGCAAAGCCAAAATCCGTCAGCTTCAAGGTGGGACCCTGCAGGAGGGCGTTCTCACACTTGAGGTCGCGGTGGGCCACCCCGCAGCCGTGGCAGTACCGCATGGCCTCCACCAGCTGCAGGAACAAGGCCCTGGCCTGGGGCTCGGGCAGGGGCCCCTCGCGGAGCACGTAGTCAAAGATGTCCCCGTCCTCCGCCAGCTCCATCACCAGGCAGATCTTCCCCTCCGTCGACTCCAGCATCTCGTGGACACGGATGATGTTCCTGTGGTCCAAGCGCGTGACGATCTGGAGCTCCCGGGGCAGGAATCGGTGAATGAACTCTGCCGAGAGAGAGTGGGGGAGGTTTGGGCACAGGAATGTCCCCCGGCTGCTGCCTCCAGGGGACGTTTTGTTGGGACACGGCAGAGGGAAGGAAGGTCGTTCCCTGGTTCCTTATGGTCCTGGCACCGTTCCTTGAGAACTGCTCCTCACGGGGGACGTTGGGCTCCACCAGCGCTTTGCGACCCTTGCAGTGGGAGAGGTGGCCACCTAAACACGTCCCTAACCCTCGGGGTCACGGTCCCTGGGCTGCTCTGCTGGACCCTGGTGGGAAACCACTAGCCACTGTGGGGAACCAGTTTCCTGCTGGGAATTAAAAGCCCTCAAGGAGGGAGGTGTCTCAGCCCGGAGCCCTTTTGGTGTCACCTCTTACCTTCTGGCATTTCCCTCTTATCAATTATTTTAATTGCCACCTTCTTCCGGTGCTTTTTGGAAAAGGCCTCCTTCACTTTGGAGTAGGTGCCCTCCCCGATGGTCCTGCCCAGCCGGTAGCCATTGGCAAGCAAAAACCCCTCCATGTCCTCCTCATGCCGCCGGAGACACTTCCCTCCCTCAGGTCACCCCGCAGTGACCCTGCTACAGCATTTGAGCACCCAGGGGCACCTGTGACACCCCGGGGGGGACACAAAGGGACCTTTTATAGCCCGGGGGGGGCTATTGTGATGCAGCCGATGTGGTGTCAGTCGGTGACGGAGGCGCAGTGGGGTGGGGGACAGGCCAGGGCACCCTCTCGGTGAGTGGGGGCTCTTGGGGTGGGCGCTGCCGGTTACGGGGCTGCTTGGGGTCCCCCTGTGTCCCCCCTGTGTCCCCCCTGTGCTTTTGCCATTGCTGGGGGGGGTGGTGCTGGCCCGGCTCACCCCTCGGTTCCTCTCTGGGCAGACACATCCCAGGCTCGGACATGAGCTCCCAGCAGACACCACAGGCGCAGAGGTTCCGCATCGAGGCCGGTGACTGTCCCCGCTTGGCCGTCCCTCCCGAAACGCAGGAGCCGGCAGACGCCGAGCAGTCTCTGGGAAGGTAAGGGGGGGCCAGGACACCCCGTGGGGTGCAGGGTCCAGCCCTGGCACAGCCACTCCATGTCCCCGTCCCCGTTTGCTGCTCCAGCAAACCCCACCTGGTTTGCTCCCAAAAGTGTCTCCTGGTGGCTGGAAACTCCTCCTCATCCTGGGACAGGGCTGGTGCCACCGGGGCGGGCAGTGTCCTGGGATGTGCTGTGCTGTGCATATCAGATGATGCCGTGTCATACCCTGCCATACCATGCCATGCCATATCAGACGATGCTGTGCCATGCCAGCCCATGTTGTGCCGTGCCATGCTGTGCCATTCCATGCCATATCAGACAATGCCATGTCGTGCCATGCTGGCCCTCGCCATGCCATGCCGTGCCATATCCGACGATGCCATGCTGTGCCATGCCAGCCCCTGCGGTGCCGTGGGGTGCCGAGGGGCTGACGCCGCTCTCTCCCTGCAGGCAGCTGCGGCGATGCCCCGGCAGCCACTGCCTGACGCTGCCCAACGTCCCCATTGACGTGTTCATCGCCATGGGAGGCAGCCGCCGGCCTCGCACCAACTGATGGCCCCCGCGCCTGCCCCGCGCCCACCACAGCCACCCCGGGGCTGCAGAGCTGCGGACGACACAGATCGCTGATGGACTTTGTAATAAAAGGACATCTCAGATCAATTCCGTGCTCAAAACCCATATGGGGTGTGTCGGCCATGGGAGGTCGTGGGGTGAGAGGGGACACTGGGACAGGAGGGGACAGAGTGAAAGGGGATGGGACCTGAGGGATGGGGCACAAGGGGATGACACAAGGGACTGGGAGATGAGGGACAGTACACGAGGAGACAGGGTGTGAGGGGATGGGACACAAGCGAACGGGACACAAGCGAACGGGACACAAGGGACTGGGAGATGAGGAGCAGGACACGAGCAGATGACACAAGGGGACGGGTTGCGAGGGGATGGGACACAAGGGGATGGGACACGAGGGATGGGACCCAAGTGCCGTGACGGGAGGACCCAGGTTCCTCCCGCCGCCTCCCTCCCGCCCGCCCGCTAGGGGGCGCCCGAGCGCCGCGGCCCCGGCGGGAGAGAGCGGCCCCGCCCCGCCCCGCCCCCGCGGCCCCAATGGGCGGGGCGCCCTCCGCGCGCAGGAGGTTTGTCCCGTCCCGGCCGCCGTCCGCTCCCCTCGCCCTCCCTCTCCCCGGGGCCGCCATATTGTGGCCGCCGCAGCTCGGAGGAGCCGCCGCCTGAGGAGCCGCGATGGGTGAGGGCGGGCGCGGTTCCGGGGCGCCCCGGCGGCGGGCGAGGGCGAGGAGGGGGAGCCGGGAGGGGAGGATGATGTGCTCCGCCGCCCGGGCGGCGGGGACAGCCCGTCCTGAGCTCTCCCGTGCCCCTCACCGGGGCTCCGGCCGCCTCCCCTCAGCGGCGGCGGGGCGGGCTGGCGGGGCGGGGGGCTGCGGGCCCGGCCGCTGAGTCATCCCGTCACCGGCACGGCGGGGCCTTCCCCGGGCAGGGCCCTCGCTGGCTGCGGGCCGGTGGGGGAGCTGGGGCTGGGGGTGGCCCCTCGGGGGGACCCTGCGGCGGGGGCTCCGGTAGCCAGGGGTCGAGTAGCCCCGGGCGGGGTCTGGGCCGTTGAGGGGAGAGGGGTGTTCCTGGTGGCCTTTGTCGCCCGCAGGAGATCAGCGGCTCGGTCTCTGGGTGGGTGAGGGGAGCAGCGCCGGGTGTTTAATGCTTTAACGTTCTGTTTTGGGGGGTTTGGGGACCCCCTCTGCCGCAGGCTCCAGGGTAAAGAAGCCTTGAGAGGCAGCGGTGCTGGAAAGGGGCTGCTGCCATCGAAGCTTCATCGGAGTGTCCGTGGCGTCCTGTCAGACCCCCGGCTCCTTTACATTCCCAAGTTTGTTTAAGAGTTTGGAACTGAGCTCCAGTGGGATCCTACTCAACTGTTAACCTGGCAGGGCTTCGGCTGTTTTAGCTTTTATAAAAGAAAACTTCAGCAGCGGTGACAACACAAACTTAGGGAGGCTGTCCCCGAGCAGCGTGTCGCCGTGGACGGCGTCAGCAAATACATCTCCTGACACGGAGCAGGGACAGAGGGTACCAGGGGGGTTTGTTGGTACGTTCATAACCAGGGCCACTAAATACGCTTAGAGGTTCAGAGAGGTAGCAGGTAGCTCCTCTGTTAGCTACAGATAACTCATAACTGAGCACTGCCCTTCAAAAGGTACTTCAATAACAGCAGATGGGGGGTTTTTTTGTTGCTTTTGATGTAGCCTGTTATTGAAGCTTCTCTCTCAGGGAGGAGATGGCTTTTTCTTGAGGTTTCAAGTAGTAAGGCAGGGTTTGGATGGGGGAGGTGAATGGCAAAGCCAAGCCTGTAGCAGGGGTATATTTATTTTCTATAAACCAGAGTAGGGATCCTCTGGAAAGCAAGGATTAAGCTCTTACCAGTTTTCACCTGCAATATTGTTTCTTAACCAGACTTCCCTTCAGAACTCTTAAAAATGATCTTTGGGGTGAGATGCTACTTGATCAAAACAATCTTGTCAAACTCTCCTGCCGTCTTCAAACCCCTCCTGGGATGTGTCTGTGTGTGCGACAGCTGCAGCACCTTCCAGTCCAGAACGGCTTTTAAAACTTAATTTATGGCTTGAGATGTAAAATCTTGACTGGCAACTTTGAGTCAAAAAATGTCCTCGGGCCTGTTGGTGAGTGTCTGAAAACTGCCTGCGCTCCCTGGCGCTGGGGACGGCCATGCAAAGGAGCTTCCCATCCTTCCCTGCCACTGCCTCCCCGTTTCTCCTTGGGGGTTTGAAGCAGGCATGTTTCTCACAGCAAGAATTTCATGCTTCCCTCATTTGAATTATCCTAGTGCAACTTTTTCTTGACTTTTTAAGTAGTAAGACTGCTTTTTCGTTGCTTTTGGTTAATAGGACTAAGTGGTGGCAGCATAAAGTTGCTACCCCTTCTGTGGTGCGGGTTGAGGATGCTGTGGTGCTTGGAAGCCGCTGCGATATTGGTCTTGCCTGGGTTGTTTAGAAATGCTCATCAGTTTGCTCTTCGTTTGCTATGCAAATGACATGTCTAAATGCCTTTATAGTGCTATTTAGCCTGCGGAGCAGTATGTAATGCTCATTTCTTAATAAAACTCTTGTGGCTGATGAATTTAACTAGTTATTTGGCTGTTTTGCTCTGTTTGCTTGTGTTGGGGAGAGCAAACATGAACTTTGTAAAGGGGAGCTCGATCATTAAAATAGGGTGATAGTGAAAGTACCAATTCCTTCAGCTTTTCAGCTTTAAGCCATCCTGCTCGTGAGCTCCAGAGTTGCTTTGTAAATCAGACAGTACTGTTTGTTTCTGGAGCAAAGCCCATGTTGGGAAGGATGAGCTTGTTGGAATTTTAGAGCCCTCTAATTGTCTCTGGCTATTTCTAGTTGTTTTTAACCTCCTCTAACTCGTGGGTACAGTTTGAGTTGACTTAGTCAAAGAGTTAATCCATGTTTTAAGAACTGTTACAAAGGGCTCTCTGACCTCAGTGCCAGACTGCTGAACTTGATCAGGCTGCTCTTAAGGAAATCTGAATGTCTCAGAATTGGTAAATCGGGTTGAAGAGGACTTAAAGCCCCCCCCAGACCTCAAATTTTTTTTTTGGAGGGGGGTGAAAAGATCGAGAGGAGATAGAGTTGAAATTAATGTGTATTGAGAACTGGGCTGATGAATACGTCGGCTCTTTTTTACAGCAGGGCATGGGGGGCCTAAAAGGAATCCTGATCTTCTCCTGACCCCACCGAAGGACAAGTATGTGGAGGACTGTTCGTTTTCCCCAAAGAGAATTTTTGCTTTTCCCTTCCCCCTCCCCGGCCGGCCCCACCAGCCGAGCTGTTGCACATTCCAGTAGTGATATCACATCCCTGGCTCTCGGGAGCTAAAACAGAAGGGAACGAGCCAATGGTGGCTGCGGCACCAGGCGGGCAGTAGCTGCCTGGGTAAGCGTTTTACCAGCACAGCGTGTCCCGTGTGCGCAGCGCCCGGGGACGGGCACAGGCTGGGGCCCAGACAGCTCAGAGCGGGAACTTGGCTCTTCTCTGTAGTAAACACTCCAGCAACCTGTGTGAGAACAGAACAGCAGCAGAGCAGACATAAAAAACAGAGCTGCCCAAGTGACAGGGTGACAGAACTTGGCCGCTTCTCCAGGGTTTAACAGCAGCTGGGGTGATTCCAGGGCTGTAGAGGAAAAGCCTCGAGTTGGTGCTTACTTGACAGGACTTGACTTCTTATGTAGCTGTTCTCCTGTAAGGACAACTGCTTAGCTTCCTTTTCCCCCTGTGGTCTTCTGAGCAAATGAAGGGATTTTATTAATTTTTTTATTCACTGTAAAACTATCAAAGTGGCGTGTTCAATATAAGGATCTGTTCTCGGCTGATTTCTGGTAGCAGCTCAGAGCTGTCGTTTTATACAGTGTGTACAAGTAATTAAACTGCTTTTACATATTTATTATAACCAACTTCATTTAATTTGTATTGAAGAAGTACATATTATTTAGGCTTCTCTTTCTGTGGTTTCAACTGAAATCATAAAGTTGTTCTGGACACGCTTTTTCCAGAAGAGAACCCTCTAGAGACGTTAATAGCTCTGTATCTGTAGCTTCTGTCAGGAAGAACCTTTATGCTTTGCTGTAAAGCAAGTGCTTAAACTCAAGAATTGACTACAGACGGGTCTATAGAGTGCTGTAAAATGCATTACATATTGGAGTTTCAGAAGGATTTTGGTTTCTGTTCTCAAAGGAAAGGAATCCCGTCACACATGGGAGAGAGAAGGAACAGAACTCACGTAAGCACTGCTAATTATAAAGCGGCACTTTTACATTTACCAGGAAACCAGCCATTAATGCCGAAATATTTGGCCAGACGAAGAGAGAGTTTAGATTTTTGAAACATTTCAGAAATGTCTAACAATGTTTTGTTGTCTCTTGCATGGAATGTGTTTTTGTTCACTTCAAGCAGGGGCTTTGGTGATAGTTTGACGAAGCGAGAGGCAGCGAGAGGATGAGCCTAGAAGTGGTCATGGATTTTGTTTTCAGTTCTGAGCAGGTGATAGCGATAAGGAATTATCTTGAAACCTGACGTGTTGTACCTAAATGCTGGATCAAGTTTCACTGTCGGTGTGCTCTTGTGAGCTGTATCGAGTAGCCAACGGCAGAAATGACAAGAGTTTGAGTTACGAGTGTTCAGGCCTTTCTGGAGAAAGGCGGGAAGAGTCGGCAGTGAGGTGTAGTTGGCCCAACGTCCCCTGCCCACGGCTGCCTCCTGTGTGGGGCTGCAGGAGATGATTGGCGTGTTCTTACAGGCCCCTCCTCCCCAGATCCAAAAATATCACAAATGCTTTGATTTTTTTTTTTTTAAAGAAATGTCTCAGTAACTGTAATTGGAGATAGCTTGACTGTCACATGTCATTTTTAACATTGTCAGGGGAGATGGCTCCAGTCTGAAACCTCTGATTTAGCACTGCTGGCTTGTTCTTCTAAAGGTAAGGTTCATTTTCCTTGTGTGATCCGAACTCCTCTGATGTCTGCTACTACTAAATCAGTTTACTTCAACACTCTGTGGTTCCTGGAGGGTGTAGTGTTGACACCACAGGCGTTTTGTTGAACAGGGATCCTGCAGAGAAAGGTACCTACCAAGCTTTCTGTCCTGAGGACTGTTCCAGGAGAGTCCTGTGTTTCCTCCTTGGTGGTAGAACCTCCCTGGCACCCCGGAGCAAGGTGGTGACTGATGTGGATTTGATGTGGTTTATCTCCATCTCCCTGTGACTTGGTCAGCCTAAGACAGGAGGAGAGTGAGGGCAGCAAAGAGCAGTCGCCATTCTTCTCTGCTGGGGGATTTTCTGTGATGCTGTAGGGGTATCTCCTGAGCTCGAGTCTGTGCAAACTCAGAGGCAGGAGGAGAAGGGGTTTTCCTCTGGGTTTTCAGGTCAGTGTATGAAATGGAGAAACTTCCTGCTGGGTAGGAGAAATCCAAGGAATATAGTCAGTAAGGCTTGTCACATGAAACTTGTCAAATTTAGAAGGGTGTTAATTGTAACTGACCAAGTTCACGTTATTGCAGGGAGAGCTTAGGTTGGAAGGGGCCTTTGGAGGTCATCTGGCCCAGTGCTTGCTCAGAGCTGGGAAGCTTTGAAATCTACCCAGTGGACACTAATTGGCAGATCAGCACTGAGGGAGTTCATCAAGTGTATTTATTTACACTTGCATAATTCTTCTACCCTTCT